TTTTTTAAATCTTGATTTGGATTCACAATTACATTTATATTTACCCTAAATTTTATAAAGATATTTTTTGCTACTGAAGCGAAATCATATGAAATGAAACGTAATTTTTTTAAAAATAGTTGTAACTTTTTTTAAGTTGCTTTCTTTGCTAATACAAACATGTAATTTTTGCAAGTGACATCTATTTATCATTAGTAACTTAAAAATTTTATAATTTAACAATTTTACAAAAATCATCATTAAGTGTCTAAAGAAAACTAAGTTTTTCTCATAACAATATTTAAATTTAAGTCATTTCCATTAGTGAGAAAGTTATATGATTTAATACTAGTATTTTTTAATAAAATTTAAATATTTTAAATTTAAATCATATAATATATAAATAATACAATTTATTAAGTTAAAAATAAACATTTTACATTTTACTAGTCAAAATAATAATAATAATAATAATAAAATCTATTCCACGTACTGGGAGTACCATATAATTTCTCTTCCATTTCCAAATACCCAAATTCTTACCAAACAGTAAGGAACAAAAGCTATGACGTCAGGTCAACACAAACACCACCGGCTATTACCCGTGGTCCTCACCCAAAACTCGTCCCTTCACCTATTTATGCACCCAATTCCCTCAATTCTCAGATACAATCTACGCCAACTCCAAATTTCTTTTCCTCCACTCCACTCCCCCTCCCCCTCCCCCAAGCAAAAAAAAAAAAAAAATGATGTCGCCGGAGCCGGACAACACTCCGATGAAGCACCTGATGATCGGATTCGTGGTATCATTCATGGGTTTATGTTCCAAGCAAGCTAAACGTGTTTCAAAGAAGCTGAAAACCATGCCGAGCGACATCACGGGGTCGCCGAGGTTCCACTTCCACTTACCACCCAATTCTCCGCTCCGGACGGTGAAGCCAAAGAAGCTGCTGAGCAGCATCAGCAACAAAGCGATTACGTTTGTACATCGCAAGAAGAAGGTCGGAGACGGAGGAGATGACGAGTTCGAGGAGGAGTTCGGGGATGGTGGGGTGTGGCAGAGGGCGATCCTGATGGGAGACCGATGTCAGCCGTTGAATTTCTCGGGGGTAATATATTATGATTGCAACGGGAAGCGGCTGGACGAGCTACCGGTCCGCTCCCCACGGGCCAGTCCCTTGCCGGGGTACCTCACTCAGCGTCAGGCTCGGAAAGCCGAGCTCTCCGATTAGGTCAACGGCGGACCGCCGAATTTCAATATAAAATCCCGAGTCTTAAGGTGAAAGGTCTTACGTGTCGCTGTTTTAGTGGTGGTTGTATTGTCGGAGTTTTGAGGTCCAACCGTGATCCGTTGATCAAGTCTTTCCCGTGGAGTAAAGATAGATAGTATAGTGAAGTCATTTTTATTTATTTTTTCTTTATTTTTTTTATAAAAAAAAGTGTAATTTAATTTAGATTGTATTACATTGTACAATATTAATTATTAGATAGAGGTATAATTATCTTTATTTAATAATTTTTATTTTACAATATAATGAAACATGTTTTTTTTTTTCTTTTTTCCATATTGTACAAAGTTTTAGTCAAGTCTTCTCTTGGTATATTTCGTTTTAGTGGAAACTGTCTTTTTGTTTCTATTAAAATTTTGATGGCTTTTTTTTTTTTTTTTAATTTTCCTATTTATGTTGTCATGTGCATGTGTTTTATGTATCCGGGCTTAGAAAACATCCTTGGAGATCCCCACGCTTCGGCCTAGAAGGCTAGTGGCTAGGAAGATCAACCCCCCGCCCCCATGAAGTGCCTTCCCTTTCACCATTATCTCATTGAGACTCATTCCCTAAAATTAAAAATGTTTGAAAAGATAGTTTTATAGGCTAATTTAATTAAAACAGTATATCATCTAATTAATTGTTATAATTATCAATTTTTTATATTAATTAAATTAATTATAACATTATTTTTCTATATATCAAATAATAAACTACATAATAAAGAATATACATTCTTCTTTTTTAATATCTCTTTATTTATTTTAAAATTTAGATTTAAAATTTCTAATATAAAAATTTTTAAATTAAATTAAACTACTATGATATGTCTTAAAGGGAGAATCAAAATATAAATTTATAAAAGACAGAGCATCTTGGTTTAGAGGAATAGGGTTTTTTTTTAAATATATATATTTATTTATTTATTTTGGGATTGAGAGGAATAAGTATTTTTTAATAAGGATAATTCATATGCAAAGACAGCTCATAATCTTTTAACGGCCGAAAATAACTAGTTCCTACTACCATAGAAAATGTAGTGCGTGAAAGAGAATGAAATCTTTGGGGCCACCTCGTGTGACGAAAATGAAGCTAATTAACAATTATTCATGCATAGGTTCTGAAAATTATCAATTCGAAAAACAAAGTAAATTAGATTTAGGTATAGTCAGTGATAGGTGTGGTTAGGATGAATTTTCTCTAACTTTTTTTTTTTTTTTTAATTATACTTGCTCTTTTGGTGAACAGGAAATAGATTAAAAACATAATAAAATTAAGGCCAATGAAGGGGTTTCACAAGAGCATGTGTTGAGTCCAATATGCGGGATAAGTCTGATTACTAAAGCAAAAACATAAACAAAAATACATGTAGATATCCCCCTAAGAGAGCAATTTAGTATTTAAAAACTTTAAACTCCATATTAAAAATTTTAAGTT